GATGACCACGCCATTTTCAGTCTTACGCAGCTGCTCAGCAGCAGCTGGTGGGGCACTTCCTCTTTCCTGAGGACTGCCATCCCTGGCATGCATCATAAAGCGCTCTTCCATTTCCACTTATTTCTCAGGTTGCTTTATTTCAGCTCCTTTTCCCAACCTCTATGTTTCCTTTAAAAACGTTAGTGTTCTTTAGGATCTGGTAGGACCTCCCTTCTTCTTATTCTGGGTGACTTCATTTACTCCCAAGGTTTCAAATATCTCTATAGGCCAAAGGAGATTTCCATCTCCAGTCCAGACCTGTCTCCTGAGCTAAGCCCCTTCTCTACGCCTGCTTATTCAACCCATCCACTAGAACAATGCATTTGAGCATTAAATTCAGGGCCAGAACTGAGTACTTGCTCTCATCCCAAACCCAGGACGTCTCAACCACAAACCTGCTTCTTCAGAGTGTTACCTAGTTCTCAACAAGTAGCAGTACTAGGCATCCACTGCTCATGTCGGAAATATGGGTGCCATCCTTCTCCACCCAGCACTGCCAATCAATAAAGTCCTGTTGGTTCCACTTCCTATACATTTCACCAGTGTTTATTTTTGCCACCATTATTACCACTGCAGTCCAAGTATCATCATTGCTTGGCTAACTCCTCCAATAGTTTCCTAGTTGGTCTTTTTTTTTTTTTTGAGATTAAGTCTTGCTCTGTCACTCAGGCTGGAGTGCTGTGGTGCAGTCTCGGCTCACTGCAACCTCTGCATCCCAGGTTCAAGTGATTCTCCTGCCTCAGCCTCCTGAGTAGCTGGGACTAGAGGTGCCTGCCACCAGGCCCAGCTAATTTTTGTATTTTTAGTAGAGATGGGCTTTCCCTATCTTGGCCAGGATGGCCTCAACCTCTTCACCTCATGATCCACCCAAACTGCTGAGATTACAGGCCTGAGCCTCCATGCCCCGCCCCTAACTGGTCCTGAGTAAACACAACGGCTCCGCTCCAATCTGTTATCTGCTCTGGAGTTAGAATGCTACTTTTAAAATGCGAATCTGATCACATCTCCTCTGGTTTTAAAAAAATCTTTTGATTTCTTCCCATTAGTAACAAGATAAAATAAAAGATCCGTGATTAAAAAGCATAAAGACCCTGCCTTTAGGTCTGTCCCGTGCCTACCTCTCCAGCCTCACTGTATGTCATACTTTCTTTTCTTTATGTTAAATACACAGTTCTTGCTCTTCCTCAAGAGTACTATGCTTTCCTATCTCAGTATCTTCCATTTTACAGATTTTCTTTCTCTAGAACAGGAGTCAGCAAAACTTTTTAGGAGAGGGCCAGATAGTTCCCCAATTCCCACGCTAAAAGGCTAATAATCTAACGAAATTGCTTACAGATTCAAGTGTCATGTTCTCATTGAAACTTTTCTTAATCAATGTTAAGTCCCCTGCTGGGGACAGTGGCTCACACCTGTAATCCCAGAGTTTTGGAAGGCCAAGGCGAGAGGATGGTTTGAGGCCAGGAGTTCAAGACCAGCCTGGGCAATATCACAAGACATGGTATCTACAAAAAAATTTTTAAAAATAGGCTGAGCATAGTGGCTCATGCCTATAATCCCAGGGGAGGCCCTGAGGATCACCTGAGGGTGGATCACCTTAGGTCAGGAGCTCGAGACCAGCCTGGCCAACATGGCGAAATATCATCTCTCCTAAAAAATACAAAAATTAGCTGGGTGTGGTGGCAGGCACCTGTAATCCCAGCTCCTTGGGAGGCTGAGGCAGGAGATTTACTTGAACCTGGGAGGCGGTGGTTGCAGTGAGCTGAGATTGTGCCACTGCACTCCAGCCTGGGTGACACAGTGAGACTCCGTCTCAAAAAAAAAAAAAAAAAAAAAAAAAAAAATAGCAGGTCATGGTGGTTATGTACCTATAGCCCCCTACCTACTCAGGAGGCTGAGGAGGGAAGATCCTTGAGCTCTGCAGTTCAAGGTTACACTCCATAGCCTGGGCACCAGAGTGGGACCCTCTCTTAAAAATAACGGAAAAAAAAGATAAGTCCCCTTATTAAATGTACTTGTACCACAAAATTATTTCTGCTTCACAGAGCAGGCCATTATTGTACAGTTGGCCCTTAAGCAACATGGGGGTTAGGAGTGTCAACCCCCTGCACAGTCAAAAATCCATGCATAACTTTGACTTCGCTCAAACTCAACTACCAACAGCCTACTGTGGACCAGAAGCCTTACTGATAACATAAATGGTTGATTAACACATATTTTGTATGTCATATGTATCGTACACTATATTCTCACAATAAAGTAAGCTAGAGAAAATATAAAGAAAATCATAAGAGAAAATACCTTAACAGCACTGTATAGTTACATATTGGCGTCATAAGTTTATACTATCTGTTTATAAGATGAATCATCTGAATTGACAGGCAACTGCAGCTGCAAACTTCAACCTAAGCTACGTAACAAGCAATGCAACTTCTGCTTGTAATGTCATGACTTTTCTCTGCTTCTTGAAAGTACTTCCAACATCACTAGTGGTACTTCCTGTGGGTCCCACAGTGTTATTCCAAGGTTATGGTATTGCATTAAACATGGTGAAAAATACATAAGAACTGCAATAGATCACTTTTTATGGCAATAAGCAATTTACTGGAGACAGCAACTGTTCACAAGGAGATGATTTGGTACACACAGCATTTTAAGTGAATACTTACAATACTTGGGCTCCTCGCAATAGCAACAGGAGGTGGTTACAAAATTATCACAGTAGTACAGTGTGTACTACAGTTAATTTCATGCAGTTATGATTTAACACCGCATCTTTACATTTCTCTCAACTGCAAATGGTACCATGTATGATCTGTGTTTGTGTAACTTTTGATAAATTTTAACTTTTTATAGTAGATTTGCATATATTTTACGGTAGTAAATGATAAAGACCAGTATCAATAGATATTTTATGTATTCATGACATACCTAACTTTAACACTTTTTTTTCATTATTTCTAGGCTACATGGTCTGCAGGTTTTTTTCAAATCATTGCACATTTCCAAAAAATTTTCCAATAAATTTGTTGAAAATAATCTGCGTAGAAGTGGCCCCAGACAGTTCAAATCTGTGTTGCCTAAGGGTCAACTATAATTAATTAGGCAGTTGTGAAATTCTTTTGTGAATATCCATCTTCCCTATAAGGATGTAGGCTCTATTAAGAGTGGGAACTATACCTACTTTGCTATTTTATTCCAGCATGTGGTAGAAAATGTGACATATAGTAGCAATCAATCAATCAATCAATCACTGTTGAATGAATGAATCAATAATTTGCTGCCTGACCTTCATTTGGCACGTTTATCTTTCTTAGCCTTAGTTCTCCATCTGGAAATGGAGATGATAAATACAGCTACTTTCAAGGCTGCTTCAAGGTGCATACAGAATGTGTGTGAGAGCATTTTGGGAACTCTAACGCAATACACAAATATAAGAAAATACATGGAAACATGCCTCAGATGCATAGGACTGGGGCAAACTATGGCCCAATGGCCAAATCCTCTGGCTCGTTTTGTTGCTCCTCTAGCTAGCTAAGAATGGTCTTTACCTTTATAAAGGATTGTGAAAAACAGAAAACAAGGAACACTATGCAACAGAGACCACATGCGGCCTGCAAAGCCTGAAATATTTACTCTCTGGCCTTTTACAGAAAAAGTTTGCAGACCCCTGACCTAGAGAAGTGCCTGGGCTTAAGTAAACACTTTGACAGTGAATGAATAATTATTACTTCGCAAATATATCCATATGTTGGTATTTTGATAACTGACAAGCAGTGCCACTTTCTGACTGCCTGTCTTCCATTCAATAAAGCAAGCAATCGATGTAAAAATACCTCTCCCCTCCCCAGGATAGTATGTTTACTTTACATTTTAAAAATACAAGGAGTCTACAAATAGTTTCATTTCCTTCAATTATATCAGGAACTATTTTTGAAACAGAAAAGGCATGGATGGCTGGGGAATGGCGTGGGGATGGAGAGCTGGAGGCTGTGCAAACCATGTCCACTGGGAGGGTGACTGCTATCGCCGTACAGGTGATTGCTGTGTGGAAGTCCAAGTCTACAGAAACCTATTGACTGCCTGTTGTAAAATACCGAGATTATTTTCTCCCCAGGGAATCCATTATCACACAGAAATTAGAAATGGCACATGGATAAAAAATAATAAGAGGCTGTGTTTATTGCCAAAAAGAAATCCCCAATACTGCACAAAAGGAAAGGATTCTGGAGTCAAAAGATCAAGATTCAAGTCTGAACTCTACCACTTATTCCATCTGTCACTTTGAGCAAACCTATTAGCCTTTCTGAGCTGAATTTCTTCATCTAGAAAAAGTGGAATAATCGTTGATGACATTTAGTAGGTGGTCTTTATGAGCCAAGTGCTTTACTATATTTGATCTTTCTATTAAAATGCAAAGTAGATGTTATTAGTGCCAATATATAGGTGAAGAAACAATCACTCAGAGAACTTAAATGACTTGCTCAAAGTAACACCACTAGAAAGGAGCAAAGGGTTTGTTTGCAGTCAAGTTCTGACTCTAGCAATGCTGTTAGTGCAACCTCTGATAAGATATTTAACCTCTTTAGACCTACTATGTGCTTTACCTTACAAAAAGCACATAAAGCCTAATTTCCAGAAGAGATGATTTGAAATTCCTCACTATTATAATATTGCCAACTTATATCTTAAAGGAAAATGGTTTTCCTCCCTTCTTCCACATTAAATCTAATTCTATGACTTCAGAGAATAGCAGAAAGAGGGTGTGCTCTCCTCTTTGTGTATAATGACAACCTAAATTAAGGAAGCATAAATACCTAAAATAAAAGTACTAGATTTTGAGCATGTTCGCTGAGTAGCATAATGATGATGAACTCTACTTATTCCATAGCAATTCCCCTTCTGTTTGTAAACCAGACACATTCAGCGCACGGCACATGAGTTGATCATTAAACCTGGATTACCTTTGCTTCATTGTCTCATGTACTCTTCCATGCTGGACGCACTGTTCCTCCAATTCATCATTTCTTCTCTGTAACTTTTCCAATTTGTCATATGTATACCTTTTTTCTTGACTGAGTTGAGCTATTTCAGATCTAGAGAGGTGAAAACACAAAAATGATAGATGTTGAAGGTTCTTATTACTAGGGCATATTGTTATTATATAACCTTAACATTACCTTAAACTCTGTACTTAAACGTAACAGTATAATGACAACTATATCCTTTGCAAAAGAAAATATTTCAGAAATTTCAAGACACGTTGTAAGACTCAAGTGTTACACAGAAAAAGGAATAACAACTTACTCTAATAGACATGGCTTCCCTAAGGAACAAGACAAAAATGATAATGATCAAATCTCTTTTTTAAAAGACTATCATTACCATTCATTTAACAAATACTTACTGAGTGCTTATTCTAGGCCAAACACGATGCTGTCAGAGAAGAAACCCTAGGCCTAATTTCTATATCAGCTTCTTTTAATTAACATAACCAGTGTAACGGCACACAGTTAAAATAAAAATAGTTCTGTAATAGTTAATTTTATGTGTCAACACGGTTGGGCCATGGTGCCTAGATATTTGGCCAGACATTATTCCGGACATTTCTGTGAGGGAGTTTTTTAGATAATATTAACACTTAAATTAGTAGACTTTGAGAAAAGCAGATTACCCTCCATGTGGGTGGGATTCATCCAATCCATGGAAGGTCTTAATAGAACAAAGAGCCTGGGTGCAGAGGCTCATGCCTATAATCCCAGCACTTCGGGAGACTGAGGTGGGAGAATCACAAGGTCAGGAGTTTGAGACCAGCCTAGGCAATATGGTGAAACGGGTCTCTACTAAAAATACAAAAAATAGCCAGGCATGGCAGGGGGTGCCTGTAGTCCCAGCTACTGGGAGGCTGAGGCAGGAGAATCACCTGAACCTGGGAGGCGGAGGTTGCAGTGAGCCGAGATCTCGCCACTGCACTCCAGCCTGGGCGACAGAGCAAGACTCTGTCTCAAAAAGAAAAAAAATATATATGTATATAGAACAAAGATTGACCTTCCCTGAGCAAAATAGATTTCTGCCTCCAGAGTGCCTTTGCACTTAAACTCCAGCACTTCCCTGGGTTTCCGGCCTGCCTGCCTACCCTGAAGATTTTGGACTTACCAAACCTCCACAATTGTCAGAGCCTGTTCCTTCAAATAAATCCATGTCTACCTATCTCCATGTCTATCTAGACGCAGACCTAGATATACAGGTAGATAGATCAATAGACTGATGGAAAGATATTCAGTTAGATCTGTTTCTCTAAAAACCCTGATTAATACAAGTACTAAAAGGCATACTAATGAAACACAGTGGTCTTCTGTCCTCTGACCTCCAATCGCAAAGCAGTGACAAATACTTGCAATTCTTATACAGCAATTTCTTTTTGTATTTACCTTTATATTTGTAAGTATGTTTATACCAGCTCCTGTTCCATCAATTAAGAAATTTCTATTGACTTTCTATGGTAGATGAAGATTAAATTCTTTTCCATGCCCCTTTCCCCTCCTTCTGTCTCTAGCTTGTCAATGTAATTACCAGTATTTCAGTTTGGGTTTCAATTAATATTTGTATTTATATGAAAATGAATACTTAAATATTGGCCTTTGCTATCCATGTGGCATCTTATGATGCCATGTGCCTTGTGTACGTTTATTTTCTCCAAATTAGTAGGCTTTAGTATAGCATGACTGGGTGGCAAGACACCCTTTCTCATAGAAGATTCTCAAATATCAGTATCTGTCATTTTTTCTCTCTGGACACTGTTGCTCAAGAGAAGGATTTTCCAGTTTCCTGCTGTTGTGTACAACCCTGTCAGAGGTCCAGACACTGGTTGGAAATAGAGGGGTGAGGATGTTACCTACACACTTTTTCTTAATCCTTCTACTCTAACTTTAGTGTCTCTATTTTAACCACAGCTCTCTGGTTCAACCTCTTCCAAGAGAAAGCCCCTAATCTTCTGTGTGGAGGAGGGGCAGGTACTTGGCTGCATGTGGTGAAGGTGGAACCGTCAATTTTGGTTTCAAACTGATGATTTCCTATGTTCCACCCTTCCTTTCCAAGTTTTTCTGAAACTCTGAAAGCAGCCCAACTTGCTTCACATATACATATACCCCTCTGTAGGCATTTAAGGTTCGCCTTTACCCATTCTGCTAAGTCGGGTACGATTCCCCTCATCTTCTTTCTGTCTTCATATATTTCATTGTAAGTCAAAAATATCTCCTTTGGTGACGGCTGATATTCTTCAGGAAATATCCTGTCTTTTCTGCCTTAGATGACAATCCAAGTCTGAAAATCTGAAGATCAGAAAGATGTTTATCCAAGAAAAATTATATTCCTTTCCTTGTATTAAGTAAACTCTAAATTACTGCCTACTGCCAGCATCTCCTCATGTACTAATGCCTAATGAGTTAGAATGGAAAGTTTAAAACTCTTGTATATTATGAGTCATTTTCAGGTTAATGATTGGTTTGTTTCCTGAAGACTCCTGATGTAAAATTGATTCCTTTCAAAAAAAGGATTCTTCCAGTAGGCAAGATAGCCTTTTCTTCCTGGTCAGGAAAGGATTTGGATTTGCTAATGGGAATCTCACCTTAAAAATCGTTCATCCCAAGGACCAAGCTGCTCACACACATGGGGGGAAAACTCTGGCTTTTAGTTCACCTCATTCTTCATTTTGTTTTCATCTTGGTTCAAATGTCATCCCAAAGGAAGCTTGCCCTGATTAATATCTTGCAGTTCTCAATATGTCAGCACATTTTTTGAAGCTACCTCTAGCCTTTATGCATACATTAGCTTATAATTTATTCTTTTAAATTGTGCTCTGTGCCTTGTCTTTCCCACCAGATTCTGTATGAGAGCATGGATTATCTAATTTTCAAGCTCAGCTCAAGTACTCAACCTACATTTGCTTCTCCTTATAAGAATCTACCCATATTTGAAATAGTCTAAAAGGAGTTAATAATGACTTACGTTTCTCCTTTCAGAATCACATGTAATACAAAATAATTTAGAAGCAGTTATAATAAATTTTTGATCTGGTATCCCTTCCAATATTAGTATCTTCTATCATACCACACACTAAAACAAATTCCAAAAGAAGAAAAAAGAAATCCTTAAGCCAGATTAGAAAAAAATGCGGAACACTGACCTATTCTCAGGCACTTTCTAAACCAAAAGGCACTTTTTAAAAGAAAAATCACAAAGAAAAAAATAAATTTCACAATATTAAAAATACAAAACTTTTACACATAAAAAAATCGTATGTTGAAAATACATAGGTTTGTGTGAGAGTATTCATTGTACCATGGTTTCTAGAAACAATCTTTCTTTGCAACCCATAATCTGGAAACCTAACTAAGAAAGCTATCAATAGAAGCTTGGTTACATAATTTATTATTCTGATAATGTGGCTATTTGTGTTATTTATTGATCTAAAACTATAACATATTGATACAAGAGAAAACATTAAAAATCAGCATGTATGATGTGATTTATGTGATTTCATTTTATAATTTAGAAAAATATTTTGACATGTATACCAACTATTAACATTGATTATTTCTGGATGGTAGGATCAGGAATGTTTTCTCTGTTCTTTATTCATTCTTTTCTATACTTTCTAATTTTTTAAAATAGATATGTATTTATATTTTTAAAATAAATTCATTTTGATTTTGAAAAAATATCATAATAAAACAAAGTGTAGATGTCTCTTGTGGGAGAAGGAGGTTGTATGTGGAAGGAACAGGGAATATATGGGAATTCTGTACTTTCTGTCCAGTTTTGCTGGGAACATAAAACTGCTTTAAAAAATAAAGCTTATTAATTAAAATCAATGTAAAGAACAGGAAAATATTTATAAAAATAAGACAAATAAACATTAAAAGCATCATTTAATGAAACACTAACTGTACTCTCCATCAAAATTCCAATTAAAAAGTATAAGAAATATTTAAAATATCTACAGAAGAAACACAAATGATCAGTAACATTTATAACATATTCAATTTTACTATTATTCAAAAACTAGCACGACAAAACCAGATACCACTGCCAAATATTTACTGCATGCCTACTCTATAACAAATACTGAAATCCATCCTTTACATTAAGGAACTCAATCCTATAAAGTACTTGTAGAGGTTTATTTTCTTTTCTCTGTGAGGTAAATATTAAGTTTAATGACTTGCCTAAGGTCACCCAAGTAGCCAAGCCCAGATACAAATACTACTTAGTCCACCTCTACTGTGCAATATTGCCTCGCATTCTTTTTTAAAATATCTCACTTCTTCGTTATGTTATTTACTAATATGGCTACATATACCGTGATTAGAAGTTAGTGTGGTACTTAAACAAGGTAAAACACATTAATACCCTTAAAAGGATCCATAGTCTTAGACCAGCAATTCCCTTTTAGAAAGCTCTATTAAGAAAACAATCAATAATGTAGATTTAGGTACAAAGTTTTCGTCATATGATTACTGATAATGGTTAAAAATTGGAAACATCTTAAAAGCCTAATAATTATTGTACATGCAAATCATTTAATAAGTTTCTGTTTTCAGAGTATTTGCTGATATAGAAAAATGTTCATTAGATGAGATATCAAATGAAAAAGCAGACGCAAAACTGTATATACAGTATAATCTCAATCACGATATAAATGTATGGATACATACACATGAAAAGGGACTGAAGGGAAGTATGTCAGACGTAAGAACAGTTATCTCTGGATGGTAGTGGCACAAGAAACTTTCCTTAATTCTTCTTTGTATTTTCCAAATTCCCTGCATTGAGGATGTCTTACATAATCACAAAAATACAAATGTTCTTTATAAAGTACATATTACTATCAAGTACATTATTGCAACAATCCTTTTTCTGCTTTGCATATTTTTGTTTTCTTTATTTATAATTGTAATTTGCCTATGATCTTTCATTTTTCAACAAAAATTTGGTATATGTGCCTGCACATCATTCTTTTTCTGTGTAGAGCTCACACTATGTTCCTAGAACTAGTAGTTTGCAAAGTTCAAAGAGTAAACTTACAAGTTTTCTGTTAGTTTTGAGATACATTCGTGACATGACTATCCTGTGCCATATACAAGGATAATAGACTCTAAAGCATTTTCATAAAAAATTTAGGCAATTTCTGGCTTTACAGAAGCATGAACTTTCCCCTGTATTTTTATATACCAGTTATATTGTATAATTGCACTTGCATGAAATATATTTTACTACTATAACTCAGATTCAAATGATAATTGCTTTCAAAAGGAAATATGATATCTTAATTTTTTATTCTTTTAGGTTCTAGTTTGACTTTTGGTAACAATTAGCAGAGGCCAATATCAGTCTCCTCTTGTAGAAAATGTAATTTTTATAGTATCCCAACCTAACATCATCTAAACATGGAGGGAAAAAACAGTTCAACCGGGTGTGTGTTCTTCACTTCAATTAAACTCACACAGTTGGATACCTACTGTTGCCAAAACAGTAATATAATTTATACATTATAGTCCACACGGTAAAACTACACTAAAAGTCATTTAACAATATTTATAACACCATAAAGTACAGTGTTAAAATATATGAACTGCAATATGTACCAAAATTATAAAATTTGTTTCTCATCATCAGTGATTAAAACCAGGATCATTGCTCTACCCTCAATACTCACAACCCTGGTGACAGATTAGAATTCAAATCTTAATGATCAATTTACAATTAACAAGATAGAAGTGAAACAAATTAAACCAACCATTATATATAACGAGACCCCATGGACTCCCATTGTTCCTCTTAATTACAAAACACAAATCAGAAATACACAATGGGCAGGGTTAGACATCAGTCCACAAGCCTAGCAACCCAGAAAGTGACAATGACAGAAAAGAAAGAAGTAAACCCATGCCGACCCTGGTTCTATCTCTATCTTGTTCTTTTCAATGTGCAAGTGGTGAGAAGCTAAAACCTAGCACACACTGCTCTCCCCTCTGCAGCTGGCAGAGGCTCACTCCTCGCCAGCGCCCAGTCCTTCCAAGCTCTTCCCAGGCCAGGTGTTAAGACAGCACTGCAGACCACACTGCAACGTTTTACTGCTGATTCATCTAAGTGCGTGGGGAGAGAGAACACTTCCTTCACTTTGATAAAGAAAAATCACAGTTGTACCAAAGACATTTAAATAGCTCCGTTTACCTCCCTCAAAAACAACCCCATAACTGTAATCAGCTCTCAGAGTACTGGGAAATACAGAAGGAAGGGTAGCGAAAGTTTACGTGAGCTTCAACTAAAATCAGACAGAATGTCTGCCTGGTGCCAATTAAAAGCAAGATGGAATTAATTCTCTTGCCTGATGGTCAAAAACAAGCTATGTAAAATGCACAGAATCAGCAGCTCATTTTTAGTTTTAAAATGGGACGTGCCATTCACAAACCCCGGGGTTACAAGCACGACTACGTGCAGCGTGGAATACACACAGGGCGCAAACTACTGTGCTAATCACTATGGAGGCTTCCAGGAAACAGAAGTAGTTGTCGCTGCCATAATGCGACTTAGGGTCTGCTTGGGGAGAAAACACATACAACAGACACAGTACCATTTCAAAACATTTTCACAGAACAACAGAGCAGCCTAGCGCAAGGCTGGGGCAGAGAGCAACGGTGTAGTGCACACCGAGCCCAGGCTGTCAGCTGTCCCGTCACTCTGCATGGGCTCCAGTCAAATGACTAGATCTGTGAGTTAAAAGCTTATTTTAAATGGTAGAAATCCATTTGTTTAGTTGGCATTTTGAATAACAAGGCTCTTAGAGTAATGTTGCTAGTAACAGAGGAGGGAAAAATATGTCTTAATTATTGCTCAATACAAAATAAATACACTTACTTTCAGGAAAAATTGTACTCTAATACTCTGAGGAAAAGCTGGACCAAAATTTCCATATGGATTGCATAACTATTTTGGAGACTGAGTTTCCACAATGACAAAACTTTAGAAACTCCAAGGTTTTCCTTACCTTAAAGCACAGGGCAAATGATTTATCCCAAGAGTCTGGCATAGGGTATGCAGGGGCACAGTCCTAGAAGGCTTCTTCAGGGTTGACTACATTAACAACTTGTATTTTAAAAGAAACAGTCTGAGCCCTTCAAGTTTTATAGGTGCTTACAAAGCAGAAGGTAACATCAAAATAAAATATTAAATTGACATGAATGAGTTAATGAGTTGTTGAAAATGTCACAGTAGGAACCAGGGAGAAATGAAACTGGAACTAAAAGAAATCAAGAACAAACAACCCTAAAACCACAATTTGTCCTTTCCACTACTTTCCTATGAGGTACACAAATTGCACTTTTTGTAAGTTTTAGGGGCCCTTAAGAGTTTTAAAAATAGCAACAATTTATCAAGTGTTTACTAGTTGCTAGGCCTTGGTTGAATCAAACTGTAAAGTTAGAATAGCTGCCTATTTTAATTCATCAGATTTACAAAATACAGCTAGATGCACATTTTCCTGATCTGGCCTTTTGAAAAAGGCTTGCATTGTGGCATAGACTTATTTCTGTCAGCCTATGACAGTGAGACTTTCCCTGGCAAAGACAATAGCTATGTGAAGTGATACCCAAATTACCAATCAAGACCCTTAAAACAATGCCACCAGTGAAAACAATAGCAGCTACTGTGTATTACTGTGTGTCAGACATTGTGCTAGGCACTTGATACATGTACTTATGGGTACCTATATATGTAATTCTAATCCCCACAACAATCCCACACAATGTGGCTTTAGAAATGTTCTTACAGATGGAAAAGCTGAGGTTTGGGGAGATTAGGCAATGTATCCAAGGTTACAAAGCCCCAGGTGGTAGAGTGTGATTCAAAGCTAGTTCCTCTGAATCCCCACGTGCTCCTGACTGCACACTGCCTGCCATCAACAAAGGCACAGACTGGCATCAGAAGTCAGGTCAGGATGTGGGAGCAGCACCACACCTATCTGTTGCATTCATTCATCATTCATTCATTAAGAGCCATCTATGCGTCAGATACAAAAGAATACATCCAATTTACAAAGTCGTATTCAGCAGCTGGAGGAATGAGAAGCAAGAGGAGCTGTAGAGGTGCTGAGTTAGACCAGTACAGGCTAAGGTGACAGATGTAGAGGAGGAAAAACAGGGCCTAGGGGCACAGAGGAGGTTAGCTGTGTCATCATGCCCAGGATGCTTACTTCTCCACGGGAATTTAAAGGTTAGTTTTTCCTTCCCAAACTTTCCCATCATTACTACTGTGGCTTGAATTTTCTTTAGCAATAGATGTAAAATATTGTAATTACTGTAAGAAAGAACATATACTTTGGAACCAGAAATACCTAGGTTAGAACCCTAGCTCTCCCACTCACCAGTTATTTAAACGGTTTTGGTTTCCTTATCTGCCAGTGAAGATAATAATTCCTATCTCAAGTTGTGGTGAGAATTAAATACCAAGCACCTTTTTGTCTCTTTTATAGATTAAATTTCCCTAATTATGTCTCCTTGGAGAGCAAGATCAGTAATCATTCACAAACCAATTTTAGACCTAACACATTAATATAAAACCCAGATTAATATAATTTTATCCCTAAATGATAGAATCTGGCTTGTTTGCTTCTAACAAATTACTTTTGGACCTATGTGCTGCAAATCAAATATTTCTGATTAAGTATAGCTACTGTTGATATTTTATGGGTCTCTTTCATGACAAAATCATTCGGTTTTCTAGGTCAAATTTCCTTGAAATATCTGGTATTTTGGCATACAGGTTTTCCCCTACCAAAATACAATTATCAGTATATGCTAGGAAGGTGCACATGTCAGAGTACATTCTTGGTGGTTACAGGAGCCTCTGCCTTCCTGTGAGCAGGGAGAATTGGATGCATGAGCCCTGTGATGCCCCAAAAGAATCAGCGATGGGGATTCTATCAGCTAAGATGGTTTGTTGATGCAGGATCCCAAGATGGAGCTCAGAGTGATCAGATATGCTCTGATTCTCCTGGAAATCCTTTCTGAATGAAACATCTAGGTTAGTAGTTTGTTTGCTGAGCCATATTTTCCTGCTCTCAATAGATCTAAGTGAGTTTTGGAAAAATACAGAAGAGAAGACTCACAGGCTATTTTTTCATTAAGTTATAATATAAGGCAATATTTGACATCAGTTACGTGAATATTGCCTTCTACAGTTCAATTTAAAGTGATTCTGTCCAATGTCATTTGTTTACAAAAGCAGAAGCTACAGTCCAAGTGGGTCAAATAAATTTGTCCAAGATTATACAGTTACTGCCGGAGCTGAGATGAGGACTCGGGCTTCTTGAAGTTTAGAATATAAAATAATTTATTCATTGAGATAATCTGACTAGAAATTGTGTAGAAAAAAGCCATTAAGATTCCAACCAATGGATTTATAAAAGAGTAGTATGCCTATAAAATGAGTGATGGCTGTTCCATTATAATATAACAATTTGAAGAGAAGGGAAGAATAGTTTTGGTTTATTTATTTCAAAGTACCATCTACTTTCATCTTAATATATACCCATTTCATCTGTTATCATTTAACCTAAAGATAGCTTTTGTGTTCATGGTGAATTGTAACAATAGATTAAAATGTGTTAACCATATCCATGTAAGATTTTATAACTGCTTGATTTACCTGCATCCTTATGTTATTACCATATTGATCCTTGTTTTCCGAAATTTCAGTTTTCAATTCTAAACACTAAAAAGTCAAATAATAGTATATACACATAATTGAGAAAAAACATAAAAGTGTATGGACAATTAAGAAAATGTCCATATGGAGAAAATGTTTGCAAAGTAAACATTAGCAGATACCTAATTTTGACATTAGACTATACAACAGTATAAATGCTGTCTTTTAAGGAAAAATTAGTCACACAAACAGTGCTCTTGAAAGTATTCCATAACATCACCTACCTGCTTTTTTGAGAGATTTGTTCCAGTTTCTTGGCTAATGTACAGCATTCTTCCTTTAACTTTGTCAAGAATGTATTCTGGGAGGTCAGCAACAGATACTGTTCATTTTCTAGAAATAACAATAAACCCCCACCAACATAAGATGTTTATGGTTGTAGCTCTGCAGTGCTTCCATACGTAGAGTGATAAGGTGCTTAGACCCTACACATTTCCTGTAAGCCACTAGATCACCTCCAGTGTCCTAAGTCAAAGGACTGATCATCTGGCAACACACTCAATCTTTTGAGTCATTTATTTTCAACATAATTATACACCAGAAACATTTTTCATCATACCAGCTTGGTGTAACATTTTAACATGTTAATAAAGTGTCAAATACCTCAAGTGGAGTCATAGATGCTTATATCTTCGTAATATGCAAGATATTATATTTTTATTTTGACAATTTTACTATAAACAGAGTGTCAAAAATTCTCACAACCAGATAATTCAAAACTAAAATCATCGAGGACTTCTCTTCAACACTGTAATTCATGCTTTGTTTCATATTTGCACACATGGCTTCCTACCACCGCCGCCCCCAATCCTGCATATACTTCTCTAATTATGAAGGTAAAAATGTGTATTTTCTTTAGAATTTTAATTTCATTGTCAACAGCATGAGCTGCAGTGGAGATCTAGTCAAAGACACTGAAAACAGTGTGATTTGTGTGTGTGTGTGTGTGTGTACAAGACAAAAGGAAATGTTCTTAAGGTGGTTCTAACACTTAAATACACTCTAATCTAGTGCTTAGTTTCTACCCAAGACTCTGATCACTTGGATCATGCTAACAGTGAGGGCAAACAATAATTTATCCTACAATTTCCTCTTTTTATTTTAGTGGAAGAACATCTACTAAACCTGGTGAATTTTCATTTCTTCTGGCCAAATGCTGTTAGAAGAAAATCTCTACTGAGAGTGCTAGAGGGAATTGTGTGAGTCAATATGACATTTGCCTCTTCATAAGTAAATAGAGTATTTAATGACTTGCATGTTAGCAATTTTTCACCCATAGGATAAGAAGTAATTTTTTAACTCTATCATCAAATACAATATATTAATACATTAAATTATATGAAAATTACCTCTAAGCATAAGTTTTAAGAGTCCTTTAATTCTTTTCAATTTTATCCAATAACTGGCAAAAAGCATATAGCATACAAATCAAAACAAATCCAGGCACTAAAATTAAGCAACATTTTTCTGGAAGAGACAGGATCAATTAAACTTTTGTTTTAATAGTACAATCAGTGTGGAGTATGTGGTGTGGAATTATAATGACTGACACTGTCTTGTTTTGACTAACACTGTCTGTGAACACACAACTCAAAAGTGAAAGAAACTACATAATGCTCTGACTGAACAAATCAAACTGTCTATTTTCAAAGTGCATTTTACTTTCAAATTAAAGGTAAAGAGTTACTGGCCAACTCAGTCTGCAGAATAGTGCCAATGTGATGAAAGATGGCAATTTTTAGCCAAGCTGCCAGCTGTGGTCAATGCCTTGTATTAGTGAATTTTAACAGCAGTTGTGAGAACTTGAAGAATGCAAAGGATTAAACATCACTCTAGATTGGGTTGGGGGAGGTGGGGAAATCATACAAATGCTAAAAATGTTCGAAGCTGCAAAGATTAAATAAAGGAACATATCAATTTGGAGCCACTGAATTACATCCAGCTGCGACAGTGAATTAAGAACCGATTAATGGCTAAAGCTTTTCTCCAGTTTGGATGCTGAAGCAAACTCATTAGGCTTTTAGAGCAGCTATAATGTGTGTACTGTGGGAACTGTTCAATGCTATTCAGGAGACTCTAACTGTAAGCTCAGAGCATTTCCCGCAGAGCTTCTGATGCTATTTTCTTTATATAACATGTGTGCCTGAAAACCCAGCCAAAAACAAGCCCTTTGTTTTTCTACTTTGTTGTGGTCTCTCTCAGCTTTACGTTTCTTGAACACAGGTAAATAAACTCATAATCCAGATGGTGCAACAGATGTGAGAGCAGCACTCTGAAATCAACAGACAGTGGGCAATACTTTCCATTTTCTCTTTTAAACGCTAACTAATATGTAATTCGGAATCTCCGGTGTAGTTAGCATCTGCTCCCTTCGGCCAGCCAAAGGTTACAGGTGTTCCTGATGTCATTTCACAGTAAGGCGTGGGCCTGGCTTGTGAGCGAGTGCCCAGGCTCTAATCTTTCCCTACCACCTACCAGTTTTGTCATGCTGGGCCTCCATTTGCTGTATCTTCTGTGTCAGCTCCTGCTCTCTTTGCTGGGCCTGAAGGGCTCGGGCCTTTGCTTCCTTGCTAAAGCTCTGCTGAATGCTATCTTTTTCCTGTCTGCAAAACAGAGAGGAGACATACAGAAATTTAACCTGCAGATGCACAAACCCCCATCCTGTCCCCTATAGACCAGAGCTGATACATAGTAAATTGTTAAGCATAAGAAGACAATGACCTTTCTATTTACCCTCCCCCACTTCAGGGGGAAAACCTAAACAACCTTTCAAACGATGTTAAATGCGTGCCATCAATCCAAATGGACTAAAGTACGCAGCGTCAAAAAAAAAAAAATCATAACTAAATAATGGTATTTTGTAACTTTAAAGCACAAACCTTTTTTTCTCTAACATTCTTAATGTTTTACACTACCAATGAATCCTTCATCTTCTGAATGGTCAATATTTCCTAAAGATACTGGAATTCTAGGAACAGCATGATTAGATTCTTAATTTAAGCAAAATTTAAATTCTTAAAACTAAGCTTTGCAGACCACTTCTGTTTTTACTCCTAAACTTAAAATGGAATCTTAAATATAATGCAGGAGACTCTATCTAGAGGCGAGTAAATGATTCCGCAGTGCCACATGCATGTTTTCACTAAATATTTTCACACATCAGGCCATATAATGTGAATATAAATATGAATATGAATATGAATAACTTCCCCCAGCACTTCATAATAAAATCCCTATTGGGTCACATTGAAAGAAACTGCAGGATGAAAGGCTTCTGTAGTGAGACAACGTCCCATCGTACTGCGATAGCCCTTGACCTGTCCCACTGGGTCAGCAACCAAGCATAGTGGCTCCAACAGAGAGAAACTTCCTCAACAATTAGAACCTGGGGAATGCAAAGGGCCTCATTGCTGGCAGCACTGTGGATACTGACACTGTGTGTGTGCACGTACATGCACCCACACAAACACACACACACACACACACACACACACACACACACACATTAGGAAGGTTCTTTAAACTCTAAACATGGGCAAGTGATATGAGGGCGTCCTTCAATTAACTGACTTAGTTATTTCAAACTCCTGATCTCCGTGTGGGCATTTCTCATCCATGCTGCTTTAGTTTACTAATTGAGATATTTACTGCTTAGCCTTTGCCAAACTAAAAATAAACAATTCCATAAAGCTATCACTACTAGTCTATGTACCGCTGTGGAACTTCAATTCAGTAGCTTCTAATTATAAAGCAACATAAGGAAAGCCTGTATTAAAACTGGTCAATGCATGTGGTCATGCTGTAATGTAAAATTCTGGAATGAAAATACACCCACACCTCACTCAAATGGAATCATCGGGGGTCCATGCTAAATGTGAAATTAGGTCCTGTCTGGTACTTTTAATAACAACACCTCCCCCTGGGATGTGGTCCAGGGTCTTTCCTTGCACTTAGTTCCAAACTAGCATATTACAACAAATGGACAGTCAGACGAGGCTACTTTTGGCCTCCTCAGTCACGCCACGTGTTTTCTGGCCATGGATCACTGCACGTCTCTTCCTCCTCCTGGAATGCCCTGCCTCCCACCCACTCAATCCCCCTGCAAGATGTATACTGCTACTCCCTTAAGGCCTAGCTCAAAATTCTTCCCCTCCCCTTCTCATCTCCTGAATTAACTATTCTTCCCTCAATAACCTCAGTATATACTGGGTACATCCTACAAAGATAGCATTGATCAGACTTCAGTTATTGTTTTACATGTCTGTTTCCTTCATCGTCTTTGTCTCTCTAAACTCTCAGCCCAGCTCAGTATTTGGCACATAGGAAGTGGGCAGTGATACTTTCATGATTGGATGTTCTTATATTCTTGTCACAGGGTAAAGGAAGGCTGCTATCCTTAAGTGTAGCTGAAGAATCTGCTTAAGTCTTACATGAAGAGGCAAAAACTTTTCAGACAAGTTAGAAAAAAGTGCTTGGAAGAGAATGGGTCTAATGGCTCTGCCAGCTGGAGACCCTGCTGCTAAAGGAGTCAGCTGAAAAACAGCCCTGTAAACTCTCACTGAGTAACTATCACCAAGTCAGACCCCGAACTGGGGCAGGAGACAAAGGTAGGGAAATCTGGGACTCTGCAACCCCTAACAATTGGGTGACATAAATGCATTCTCCAAAACCAATATCCATTTGAGAGTGAAAAGGGGCACTATTAATGATTATTCCAAGATAACAGTTATAACCGAGACTACCCATCACAAACTGGTACTTACAGTTCCCTAATGTAAAGGGGTTGTCAGTCTCACCATCAATTTTTAGAATAAGTTGCCTAATTACTGATACTATAAATTGACTATAGGCCGGGCACGGTGGCTCACACCTATAATCCCAGCACTTTGGGAGGCTGAGGCAGGCAGATCACTTAAGGCCAGGAGTTAGAAAGCAGCCTGGCCAACATAGCAAAACCCCATCTCTACTAAAAATACAAAAATCAGCTGAGCGTGGTGATGCATGCCTGTAATCCCAGTTACTCGGGAGGGTGAGGCAGGAGAATAACTTGAACCTGAGAGGTGGAGGCTGCAGTGAGCTGAGATGGTGCCACTGCACTCCAGCCTGGGTGACAGAGTGAGATTCTGTCTCTAAATAAATAAATTAAAAAAATAGACTATAGATAAGAACTACTGTCATAATTGTAGTCCTTTTTATAAAATAAAACAATTTAAAAGACTTCTACCAACACATGCTGAATTACACATCAACTTACGTTTCTTGAATCCTTCCTCAACTTTCACTCTTTGTGGGAAACTATACATTATGTTTCATCGCCTAGAAACATGACAGAGTCTTGCCTTTCTACCTCCTTTCCCCTTCCGCTTTCCTATGTTGCCTTCTCCCTCCTTTTGTAGGTTCTTTCTGACTTGGTAAGCTTTTTATAAAATCCCAGAATGTTAGAACTGACAGGGAACCTCAAATGTGTTTCAAAAAACCCTTTCACTTTACAGTTGGAAAAAGAAAACCTACTAAAAAATCCCTAAGGGTCACAAAGAATTTAAAGTCTGCTTATAGTTTGCATAGTGAATGATTTAAAGGCAGAGGTAGGATTAACATATTTTTATTTAGGGAGACCTATTTTATAATACTCTAGAGCAGGAGTATGCAATCTTTTGGCTTCCCTGGGTCACCCTGGGAAAATTATCTTGGGCCACACATAAAATACACTAATACTAACACTAACGATTGCCGATGAGCTGGAAATAAAAAGGAAAAGGAAAGAAAATCACACAAAAAAATCTGACAATATTTTAAGAAAATGTATCAGCTTTATATCGGGCTGCACTCGAAGCTGTCCTGGGCCGCCAGCTGGACAGCTAACGCAGCTTACGGCCTGGCTGGCTTTGAATGCAGCCCAACATAAATTCATAAACTTCCTTAAAACATTATGAGATTTATGCATAGGCATTTTTTCTTTCGCCTTTTTAGCTCATCAGCTATCATTAGTGCTAGTGTCTTTTATGAGTGGCCCACAACAATTCTCCTTCCAGTGTGGCCCAGGGAAGCCAAAAGATTGGACACATCTGCTCTAGAGGTAATACAACAATGGATTGAAAAAATTAATAAACAGCACTTAGGTATTGAAGTAGGGACTAGAGAGAATCTAAATCAATTTATTAAATATTTATCATAACTCTCTTATGGAAAGGCACTCTGCTAGGCACTGGGTCAAATAAAGATAAATAAGACATGCCCCTTGCCCCTAGTAGGGAGTTCAAAATGGCCAAGAGATAGTAGGTGGTAAAATACTGCATAAGAAAGATACAAGGAGAAAATTTAGCAAAGCATAACAAAATGAGGGTCAAATCCAGCTGGGGGTGAGAGCCTGGTGAAGGATAACCAAGCCAATCTCTTCAACTGGTTTGCTTTAATTCCCTCTCAAAACATTGAGTAAAAAGAATTGCTTGGTAGTTATGGGCTGAAAGATTTATTCACAGTCACCCAAAACCAGAAACAACTTAAATGTCCATCAAGCGTTAACTGGATAAACTGTGGTGTAGTCCTACCGTGGCCAAAAAGGAGCATTGTTACATACAGCACTTGGCTGAACCTCCAAAGCAGTACACTCAGTTTAAAAAACCCAGACACCAAAGACATATATTATGATGTCATTCATAGGCCACTCTAGAAAAGCAAACACTAGGGGACAGAAAGCAGATACGTGTTGCCAGGATTTGGAAGTAGGAGAGGGGTACCAGGGAGCAAAAGGGCACAAAGACACATTTTGGGTTGATATAAATGTTCTTCTATGTTACGACTATTATCTTTCCACAATTCTATATATTTGTCAAACCATATTTACCTGCACAGTTAAAAATTGGCAATTTTAAAATTATATTTAAATTTACCCCAATAAAGCTGATTTTTGAAAGGAGCAAATCAGTGGCTCACACCTGTAATCCCTGCGCTTTGAGAAGCTGAGGAAGGTGGATCACTTGAGCCCAGGAGTTCGAGACCAGCCTGGGCAACCTGGTGCACTCCCATCTCTACGAAAACAATACAAAACTAGCCAGCTGTGGTGGTGCGTGCCTGTAGTGCCAGCTACTCAAGAGGCTGATACAGAAGGATCAACTGAGCCAGGGAGGTTGAGGCTGCAGTGGGCCACGACTGGCCTACTGCACTCCAGCCTGGGCAACAGAGCGAGACACTGTCTCAAAAAAATTAAATTAAAGGAGCAAAGGAACATCCACCTCTATTCCCGAAGTTATTCACATCACCTGTAATCCAGGCATATGTAGGCCATATCAATGTTTTCTTCATAAAAATTCAGAATTAAAAGGAGTGAACATGTACTGGCTAGGCCTCAAACACAGTCTACATATACATGGAGGTACAGTTACTCCTTTTTTCCAATTATAGTTCTGGTTGACTGTATTTTCTAAAATTGGTGACAATGGTATTTATCATCTCATTGTTTAGAAATGGGACCAAAGCATTACTTTACATTGTTGATACACAATTTTTTCATATCGTTTATTTTAAATCTTGCAATTAAAAAAATGTTCATGTCAAAGAGCAAAAATGACTTGTTAAACAGATTTTTAAAAGTACATTTTCTAAT